CCTGTAACCTGTGCGTTTTGAACTGAATCTAGTATGATTACTTCAAATCAAATTATGTAAAGAAATACTAATGAACAAAAATGATGGCATTTCCCATACACAACAAAAATTAGCGTGAAATCAACGTGTAGATTCATTCTCAGCCCAACTATTCCCAGAGATGGAAGAACAAAATGAAAGATGTCTAAGATGAACAAGGAATTGGATAAAAATCTATGAGCTATATGTAAATTAGCGCGAAACTCAATGTGTAGAGTGATCCAAAATCTATTCCTCAGCTCAACTATTCCCAGAGATGAAAGAAGAAAATGAAAAATTTCTCAGATGAACAAGGAATTTGGGTAAAAATCTATGAGCTATATGCATATCCTTAACAGAATATACACAAGCACGCCCGGAAACGAGTTCTCAGCATTCAACCAATTCCAAGATAGAAGCACAAAAATTTTATCGATACCAACACATCTACCCAAACTAATAATGCAACAGGAAGAACAAAAATTGCACATACAATCGACGAGGAAGATATAGTCCACAGGCACCTACTACATGTTCGCTAATATTATTTTTCCAATTTTGAAAAAAATACAGTTCGATGCCCCTTACTATGCATATTGTTGTCATGTAAATATTATCCAGCGAATATGTTCTCATCCGTCCAAGCAAATAGATCAAACGAATGACATTGGAGCAGGTGAAACTCACCTGAGTTTCCCTCAAAGGATGAGGCCGTAGCTCAAGACACGGTGGGCGTCTGGGGTTTACCGCCGCCCTATTCGGCACCCTGAATATTCCAACCCCACCACCGCTCTCCATAAACTCCGGCAGCGGTTGCGACGGCAGCTCATTGGCGGCAGAGTATTGGACGTGACGGTCGCTCACGGACCCACTCCCGCAGTCGCCCCTGCCGGTGACGATGGAAGAACGAGTAGAATTTTTGTCATCCGAAGAGTCCAGATTACCGCCGTATAAACCGTGGCCGTGGCCCAGAATCCGGTTCTCGTCGAGGCTGTGATTGCGGAGCTGGTGCTGGTGCTTCCGGTGTGTGTCGGTGGTCGACCGCAGCTGCTGGC